TAAGACAGTGTAAAGGAGTATTTCCCCCCCCCAAGAAAGTACCAATCTGTCTCCAGTCAGTATCTCTCCCTTGTCTGCTTTGAGCTGTACCTGGAGTTACAGGACTAACTTCACATTTGTAACAGGACAATTTAATATACCATGACAGTAAAGACGACCCCCCCTCCCCTTTAAACACTAATTTTCCCTTTCAAGAGGAGAATTCACTGGGAATAGGTCCTGGGAGACAACCTTAGTAAAAAACCCAGACCTGGAATCTACAGAAGCCCCACACAAAGCTTGGGCGAGGACAGAAAGCAGTAATTCACTGTGCATGGGTAAGACTGGACTTGAAATCTGCAACAGCAAAACGCTGAGATGATTTCCTGCGGATCCCAGCATCACAGACTCGACGAAGAGAAGCAAACTGAGCATATAACACTGTCCTGAGTGAGCAAGTGTCAGCCTCTGGTGTTTGTAAACAACCCTGAAAGAGACATTTTGTTAAATAAACAGAGCTTTTTCCCAGCATGGGCTCAGGCTATGAAGAAAGCAGGATTCAACTTTTAAGCTCTTTGCGATTCAATCCACTGTAAAGAAATAGATGTTTTAAATATGAGCCTAAGGTTGGGTTTTCAACTGAGGAAGTGCAAACAGAAGCGTTCTTGTGCTGGTGCCGCATCCTTTTACACACTGATCTGCTTCGCAGGATTTGCTAGGCTTGACTTTTTTCATTTTCACATTAGTTCTACAAAAAGGAAGAAAGCAGAGGTCAAATGAAGTCTGTACTAGCTGAAAATTATTTGTCCCAGCACATCTGGCGCTACAGCAAAATTTCTTCGGAAGAGGAGAGAACAAAATGTTATTCTCACTGCAAAATACCACCCAGACCCTATTAACCCCACAAACTGTGGAGTTACGTTTTGTTCAATACAGTAATGTGGTAAGGAGAATGGGCAATGTAAATGCCGTTAAGGACAGTCAAAACGTACAGGACAAAGATGTTCAGCCTTGGCAAGGATTTCTCGGGTAACCCTGTCCAGGGCTCTGCTGCTGTAACCAGCCCAAAACCCCTTTCATCCATGCCCCCATCTGCAGGCTGGGTCTCTTACCCCACCACTCGCTCCGGCTGCACAGCATGCCTCTCCCCTGATCCTTACAAAACCTACCCTGAACACGCAGCCTAATCTCACGTGGGGCTGGCCCATACCCGTGCGTTTCTGCAGCGGTGCTGCCCTTTACTTAAATAGCGCGTGTCTGGAATTACTCTTTCGTGCCTGTGTACACCTAAAGCGTATTGTTTTGAGGTTAGATTATCCAGCTTGCAGCTGCCCGATGGCTTTACTTTTCCATATCTCACAGAGGTACCTTAAGTGAATTTATCCTCATTCGATGCCTTTGAAAAATGCTCTCAGGCTATAAAATGGAGCTCCCTTAACGCTCACAAAATAATGCCAGTTTAATGACTCCACACAGAAGATTTATTGCTGCTTCTGAGGAAAAAAAATAAAAAAAATCTTTTTATCTAACAAGTAAATCTCCACTCTGCTCCACCCCAAAACTGTCAGTATCCGTTTTCAGTCCTTACTGTTGTTGTTTTGGGAATAATAATTGCACAGCAAACAGGCTGTTTCACCCACTGACTGGCACCCGCTGCTTTCCCCTCTGTGTCCACCCATCGGTATTACCCAGCCACCAGGCACCCCTTTCTAGGGGGGAGAATTTTGTGTCATCTGAAAAGCTGGAAGATTCACGTTCATTGTCACAGCTGGCAGGAAAAGCTTTGCATCTACCCAGTCTACCTTAAAGAGGATTTTTTTTTTTCTCTTACCCACGTAATGTAGTTCAACACTGGCATCCTGTGGCCACAGATTCAAGTAACTGTATTTCAAAACCTCTGAGACTCCACAGAAAATGCCAAAAATCTCCTGGGTTTGATAAGGGAAAATCTCCTAGTCCCTAAATGTCAAGGCTGAGAAATTATGAACAGATAAAGCCCCCACTATTTAATGTCCTCTTGCATACAACTGTTTTCATTTGCACTGGAGCTTTCTACCCATTCCCAGGACATTGGAAGTAATATATAACTATATGGATATAAAATTAAAAAGACCAGAGTGTGCTAGCCTTAAACTAACATTTTTTCCTGTAAATACTTTCCGCCTTATTGTTTGTGGATTTCCCAGCATGAATTGAGAAGGAAATTCATAGATCCTACAACAAATAGGATATAAACATATAACCTATATTTATGTAGAGAAAATACATATATAAAAAAGGTTTTAGTATAATAAAATACATCTAAAACCCCATCCTTTTATTGTGAGCAGCTCATTTTAAAATCATCCCTTAAGACTGAAGCACAGAAAACAATATGCACTTTTGATTCAACACTTATACAAATAAACTATTTTTAGTTGAAAACTTTCATGGGTTGAGTCTTTTGCAGCAGAAGATATTTTCTTTCAGCTTTCTTTAATAAATTATCCATCATTCCTCAAATATTTTCCCTATGTTCTTGTTTCTTTTTTTGAAAATTACCTCCATTTTGGAAACCTATCATGCTGAGTAACAAAAAAAAAGAGAAGAATGGGGAGCTGTAATAAATGATACTGGCTTCTTTCTAATTGAAATGCTCCAAATAACCCTTCTCCAACACATCAGCGCTTCCACAAATGCTTTCAAAAACTTTAAGAAATGGTATAAAAATGATTCTCGGTGTATTTCAGGTGTGAAATACTACAGCCAAGTCACGCAGAAGTCGATATTCATGAAGCACAGAAACAATTTCCAGAGAGGCGTGCCAGGCACAGTATATTTTGCTATCATTTTGTTGGGAGCCACCGCTGAGGACAATATCCCCATACCAAGCTGGCCTGAGCCTGTCCCACTCCAAACACTCCTCAGTGCTCCCCAGACGCATGGTCTCAGCAGGGAGCACCAAGCCCATCCCGTCATCATGACTCTGACGTTTAAGTTTCCGAACCGATTCTCCGAGGAGCGCAATACTGTCTCCATCAGCGTAGGCCAAGGGCCAGGGGAGGGAGATGGGCGATTTGAAAGGAATCAGAGGTTTGTCGGGAAGGGAGGGGAGACGGGGACAGGGGGGAGAGACGTCCGGTCGTTTAAAGTCAGTCGCTAGCTGAAGAACAGGCTTCCTGTAAACGTCTCTCGTTCGTTAGCGGACATTGATGGTAACCAAGAGCGCGACGCTGTAGCGTGTGCCAAAAAGAAACTTGCATTGTCATCCCCGGCTCGGAGCAGCCGAGAGGATCGCTCGGAAGGGTTCCACAGCACGGGGAACCCTGAGAAACTCCCGGAGTAAGCACAAAGGAGAGGAGTCCCACCAGGACTTACCTAGGAGCTTTCTGAACCATTTTGGCTTCTTGTCCCATACAATAAAGAGGTAGTAGGCAGGAACTCCAGTCAGGGTTATTGCAAATCCAATCCCTGTATTCACTGGATCAGAGTAAAGTGACAGTGCAACCATAAAGAGGCAAGTGAAGGAAAACAGCGCTGGAATAAATAGAGGCACCTGAAACAAAATCACACAGGGAACCATTACTTTACATTGACCTTATTATTGAGTGACTATGGCATTTAATGTTCCATGAAACATAAATTGGACAAAACCCAGCAGTACAGGGTAGTTCTGGAAAAATACGGGTATCTGGAACGTGCACACAAAATGTCAGTGACTACAGAAGCCGAGCTATGCAGAGTGCCACGCAGTGAGTGCCGTAGAACCTTTTAATTACACACTAAAACACTACAGTGTTTTACATCCTTTAAAACGTAAGGGCTGTAAATAAGTCACATTGCCAAAGTCCTTTCTCCAGTCCTCAGTATATAAGTAAGCAGCACTAACTGCAGTAAAGATTTCCTCTTTGATAATTACCTATTAGAAAACATTTTAAAACACAACCAGGAGCTCAAGTCACCTTTTAAAACTATTAAGAACATATTGATTTTCTTCCTATGGTAAAAATCAAAATCTGGCAGGAAGAGAGCAAGTTAAACAACAATTTGACTAGTGATAAAGATATTTGATAGCATTATGCAATGGATAGCTACTGAAAAACACTTTCTGACTGTATGACTGATAGCATTATTAGCGTCACTGTTGAAAGTACAAAAAATAACAACATCAAATTAATTCTCTCGATTTCCAAGAACACCACTCAATCACTGTGTTAGCACCTCTCTAACAGAAACGCCTACAGGCATGGCTTGCGAGATGCTCAGTGTAATGGAGAATTGGAGAACTCCTTGGAGATTATTCTCTTCCTTTCATCCCTTGAAGCATTACTGCTCCTCTTTTGTGCCCTGTCAAAGCATTTTTTTTTTTAATCAAAACAAAATAGGTTGTGCTGTTGTCCTTCTCATTTACAGATATACCTACAAGAATGCAACAGCGCACGTTTTTAGTTCTTCAGAAAATAAGGTTCCTGGCAATATATAAATAGGGACAGATTCTTCCACTTTTTCATGATGGATGTCGTCTTTTGGGGTACACAACGGGATGACTTACTTTGCAAGATGTTACTTAAAGTAAGCAAGGAGAGTGGCAAAACTGATGCCAAAACAGCTACTGTTCAATGGGCCAGACTATTAGCATTTTCTTTCTGGGTTCACAATAACTGTGTCTGCAAATCCATTGCAAGTCCCAAATATCATAATAGCAGCACTACTAACTTCCTTGCGCATCAAATTTGCACATTCCATATTGGATAGGCAATGAAGTAAATGCCCAACATCAACGCTTACACCTGATATGAATTCTGGTGGCAAAATTATTCAGGCCTTTATCAAAGGAGACGTTAAATAGAGAACTGGCTGAAAATCAGGTTGGCACGTGTAACCCCAGTATTTGCAGTCTGAACCCTATGTGACAACACAGGACTAGAGGTATTTTCACACAGCTTGCAACACGCTGCCTCAATGCAACAGACCCGCAAAACTGAGCGAGCACCTTCACTTTGGCACCGCAGCTTCAGTCGCTGCCCCCAAGCACCAGGGGAACAGGTAAGGTTTGTCTTTCAGAAGAGACCGCAGCTGGGGTAGCGCTGGGGATCTCGCAGGAAAACACGAGGAGACCCTTCGGTGCGAAAGACTGTTTTCTATTAACTCTGTTTTTCTCAAAAAAACAGGTTAGCCTTCTACATCAGAAAATGCTCCTTTACTGTGACTACAGGATAGCTAGGAGGGAGGAAGGAAGGGTTCATGTAAAACGGTAGTGAGCGGAGGTTACCTTGAAAGGACGAGGCATATCAGGACGTTTATATCTGAGATAAATCAACCCAGCAACTACTAGTCCAATAAAAAGCCACCTGGCAAAACTGAGGAAATTCAGGAGGCTGTAGAGATCCCCATTGAATAACATTATCATCGTGAGAGGATGCTGCAAAAGAAATTCAGAACGTTAAGAGGGTTTGATCTCTATTATTTTTTCAGCAGCGATGTCAAATTTTTCCACGGGGACGAGCGGCGCAGCCCGAGGGCCTGCCTTTGTCATGCAACCAGGGGCGTGATCGATACCTAGCTGTCCCCTGCGATCACGTTCGATCAAGATATATCTGTCCCGGGTGGCCGCACGTGAGCAATATGCATCTGTCCCCTGCGACCCAGACAAATACACAGGCACAGAGCCCACTGCCTCACCAAAACGCCCGAGCATCCTGGGCACCGTTCTCGCGGGAGCCGGCAAGTATATTAGCCCACTGCAGTTTTACTCACTCATCACTTCGGTTCAATTTTGGTCACATCTGATCATATGACAGCACAGGTTTCTAGGTGTCTTGTGGAAGGAAAAAGTCTCGTGGTCTCCCCAGCTGCAATAGGGGAAGTCGGCAAAGAGGGCATGGCGAGGGGTGGCTACACACCCCGGGATGCCAGCCGGGCACGCCGGCTTGCCACCAGCTTGTATTTGCAGTCTGGCTTCCAGGCTTGTAGGGTGGGGACTTACTGCACATCAGAAATGCAAACATTTCTCAGCAGAGAGCGGCTTTTAGCTGTCACTCAGGCAGCTACGGAAGAGCAAGGAGGAGAGGGGACACTAGAATAAATACATTTCCTTATGAAAAAGCTATTCTGAGGTACAAGGCAGGCGACAGCTTGTGTATAAACTAGTGTTGTGCCTTGGGCTAGGTAATTAGCGTAGGCTACAGGGATCTATTTCAGGGTAATGTCCGGACAAAAGCAGGACATTTGTAGCTTGGATCAACTCTGCAAGGTAGTCTGCACGTCCCGTAGGAGACACCCTATGCCGGCAGCGACACAGCCCTTGCATTCAGGGATGCAGGAATGAATCCAATTCACCATAGCCTTGTTTTTCAGCAGGAGAGAAGATCCTGGCAGCCACAGCCTCTCTAGGTTTGTAATGAGGCCACAGGTGAAATCAACTGCAGATGTAGTAAAACACTGGGCTAAATCTTTACGTAAGGAAAACTAACTTCTATTAACTATCTAGACTCACAGACTCTCTTTTACAAAAAAAACCCAACTTTTTTTTAAAAGCAGTGAAGGCAGCATGGATTTGAACCACAAGGATCAATATTTCAAATGTGGGTCTCTGCTTTCCAACCTCTAATGACCTACAAAGTGCTTGGTTCTTTACACACAGATATTAAGCAAACTCCTCTGTAAAGGTCAAAGGAAATTTTACCACTGAATTATATTAGACAAGATCTCTTCTATATAGATCCAGCCCCTAAAAGTTTAAAATCTCAGTTATAAGCATGACAATGCAAGAAAGGGCCACAGACAGTGAAGAAGAGCTATCAAGAAAAAAAAAAAAAAAAAGTAGGGTAGTAGTGTTACAATCAGATTGCAGGATTTCTTGGAGTTGCTATACACACATCTATCAAATACCAGGACATACATACATAAACAGATTTCTTAATTCCTAAAAACGATTTTTTATTTAACAAGCCTCAAACACTGAACACGCTCATTTTCTCAGTTTCTCCTCAAGAGCTCTTTCCTTTCTTACAATGTGTAGACCTTGGCAGGAGAAATAAAATAGGAAAATGCCAAAATGCAGACTATTGATGCAGAATATGTCATGCAACTGCTCTGTTTGCAATAAGGCAAGGAACAAAATCACAATCTCTGAAGGAAAAGCCATCTTCATATAAGAATCTGACTTTCAAAGGAAATCGATGCACTGGTGTAACAGGACCACATGCAATAGCAGAAAATGTCTTTCAGAAAAAAAAAAAAGTTAATACTTTTTGTGCATTTCATTCCACAGAAAACAGTCAATGCAATTTACCCAAAAGCTATAACTACTTCAGCCCAAAGAAATAAAATGCAAAGTAAATGCTTAGGTAAAATGAATTCCACTAAAACTTTTCACCATAATCACATTGCCCGATTTTCAAAATTTGAAAGCCTGCGGTTGTATGTGCACATGTAAAATTCAACACTTCAGCAGTGAGCTTATAGGCATCTATAGCAAAACCAGATTTAAAATTCAGTATAAGCATCTGATCTTGCTAGCGTAGACCCACAGATGCACATGCGTCTTCTGCTGCGGTTAGAACTCCCCACAGATGCAGAGGTCCGCCCAGATACATTACTGTCATTGTCCCCAAAGAGGGACTGAACACCCACGGTTACGAAGGCTGCAAGTGAAAATCTTCCTGGCACTATGCAAACTGAGGTTTGAGGTTGGTATTTGGACATTTTGTCCTAATATTTTACCGTATAAATCAGTCTGCAATGCAAACACACGGCCAACATTTAGCTCTGCCGCTATTTTAGAAGTCAGAAATAGAATTTCCACTGTAATACTGGTGTCTTTCCTTAGACAATTCACAGACTATTGCCCAGGCACACGTCCTCTCATTTTTTAATCACCGCTACACTGCACTGCTGAGGGTTCCCCTTCCATTATCTTGGTGCATAATTGTTTGCATTTTTCACTATAAGGTGGTATAATGAGCCTTTAGGGTGCTCCCAGATGCTGGTGTTTAGCTGCGCTTTCAGTTAAATAAATCCCTTTTTTGTTTGTGTGTTTGTTTAACTGGAATTTGCTTCTCTGAAAGGGAACTAGCTTATCGCTAGCAGGTTCTTAGAAATAAAGGGCAATAAGACATGAGTTAGGCTGCAGCAACAGGCAGTCAAGTGCCGCCGACAAGATAGCAAGGAGATGATAGAAAAGAACAACTCCCAAATCTCATTTCTCTCTTTACTGTCCTCCGCCCTGCCCAAAGCCCACGTGCACGTTAATAAATGAGACTCCAGCAGTGCTCAAATTCTGTTCGAATCCTCCAGAGCAAGCCTGTAATATGAATCCTTGTGCAGGCACATTTGTTTGTATGATTTACCAAAACAATGACAGCTGGCAGAGGAGTGTGCTTGCGGACATGAATCATGGAGAGAATTTCCGGAAGGTGACCCTCGCGGGATGCAACGAAGAACATCCTGGTGGGAAATAAATGTGGAGAGACTTTAAATGTGCTCATTCCTGTGACTAGGCAAAGCAGCTCATGAAAGTCACAGAGCACAGCGGCACTTCTTAGGCTTGTTTAAAACGAATGAAATGACCAGCAGGAGAAGAGCATACGCAGAAATCAGAGTCATCTCTGAACGTGTCCCCTCCTCACTTCACACTATGATTGGTGTTTGGAATTAGTTAATACTTTCCATCCATTTTCCCGCCTTCACACGAAACAGAGCAGCCATTAAGCGCTGTGCTCAGAGGGGTTTGTTTCCAAACCAAAGAGTTTTAACAATAAGACGCTAAATTCGACGGGAACAAAGTGAGGAAAAAGCCCCACACCTGGCAAACACTATAGTCATTTTGCATTTCCTGCTGCAGGAATGAATCCTACTCTACCTTCCCCCCCTCGCTTCCTCACTTTCAGTGTACATCCCCTGCCCCTCATCCCCAGTAACATTAGCGATGCTCACCTGGAGACTGCAAAAATGCCGCCGTTCATAGATCCAAAGCAGGAGAGCGCAACAAATACCGGTACAGCTAAAGAAAAGTTCCCCATTAGTCGCTCGGCAAAGGTCTGTTAGAGGAGAGAGAAACTTAGAGTGATTTTTCATAAAACGTGAAAGTAATTTTACTCTAATAACAAATCATTAATAAGTATGGTAAGTTTTATTGATACCCCTTTTCTGCATCCCTCACTGAATATTTTGCTCTGCATTTGTTACCTATTTTGTGACACTACTACAGATGAGGTCTCCCACCCTTACTCCTGACTGCACATGGAAGATGGCCAGTGGAGGCAATGCTGTGGAGGTGGAGTCCAGCCCTGATTTATGTCAGTTTAGGCCATTATGCCTCAAAAAAAAAAAAAAAAAGACCCAGTCTGAATAGATCAAGGTCTGATCTGCATACCTAATTTTTTTTTCTAAGCCTTCATTTTACTTAGCTGATACTACCCAGTGGTACAGTCCATCTAGTCACACTTCATTGTTCTGAGTTATCAGAAGAGCCTTAACTGGAGTTTTGGGCACCGCGGGAGACATGCACAATTTTCTTCAAGTTTGCAAAATGTTTTGTTTCTAAATCTCCCATGAGCTACAGAATTTGGTCATTTTTTAAATGCCACATCAATTGAAATATTCACAGGCAGCGTCACTACTGGAAAGTAAACGGAAATTTTTATTTCCTCACTGCGAGTCAGATACCGTAAATATAAAAATCAGTGTCGTCACCACAATTCAGCAAGAACAATCAAAGCAGTATTTCCAAGCCAGGCTGCCTTGCAGCCACTTCCCAGATGAGTTCCAGTATTCACGGCAACCCCCTTCCCAGGCACTCAGGACGCACGTTGTGCAGAGTGCTACAAAACATAGCTCAGAGCTCCCACTTCCACAAATGCTTGTGTTTCCTGCTTCCCGGGAGTTTGGCCTGCAATTTAGCAAAGAATTTTTCAAGCATGTACTTGGCTATAAAATTTAAGTCCTACCGACCTCATTATATCAGGGCAATAAACACGGTCTACTATTACGTTACGCACGCCATCAATGGCCTTACGTGCAATCCCACTCATCAGTCAAAAATCAGACTAACTTCACCGGGATGCTACTATGCAGTGTGAGACAGAAGCCATAGAAAAGCCTGATTGGATGTGTCCCCCGATTTTTTCCCCTGGAAATAAGAATATATCAACAAACACAACTGCAGCAGGGATATAGTTTTGTATTTTTCTTCTGTAACTTACCACTGCTACAGCTTTTGAAAGCAGCAATTCCCCAGCACTGATTGTAGTGAAATAAGCCACGTTTGTTAACACATAGCCAACTGTGACGATAATCATTGAAATGCATATTGCGAGGGGTATGTTTCTGAAACACACAAGGTAGCTCATTATTTTGCAATCTGGTTGCTATTCCCTGAACATGAAACAAATAACATGAGAAGAAGCCACTAATGATGGTGAATGCACATTTGGTGATCCCGAAATACCATCATTAGAAACTACCAGTAAAAAATAACACATCTAAACAAAACCATCTAGACAAAGTAAATTGGTTTATAATGAGGAGGTGAGAAACCATCTGAGGGAGGAGTCCCTTGGGGCTGCCAAGAGGTTGCGGTCCCCACGCTTCCCGTACATCGGAGCTGCCTACCCATGTTGACTTTCCAGCTGAGCCCAGTAGGAAGGCAGCAGGTACCAGCGCTTGCACCAGCAATAAGGCAGATGACAGATGCAGGCGATTCAGCTCGCTCTCTGTCAGGAGAGCAATCACAGGGGCATCTCCAACATACCCGCCGGCTCTCAGTGACTGCCCGCCTGGAGGTGGTTCGGCATCTTCCCCTGGATGCCAGAGTGCCTAGCATGCGAAATCCTGCCCTCTCCTCTTCTGTGCAATTCTTCCCTCGTGCACCTTGACACACCCTAGTTACCTCTCTCACTATTCAGGGACACAGGGCAGAATATGACACAGAAATAGGTACAGCACAAATTCGTACGGTTAGCGCAGCACAAATACTACTGAACAGTACAAAACCCCTGACATCTTAGCTAAAAGACAGAACAGTAATGTACAAATAAATAATGACACCAAACCTCTATATAGCATGTCCTCCCAGTCAGCAAAGCAGAAAAGGAGAATTATTTCTATTTTAAAGAAGAGGAACAGAGGTACAGTAAATGTGTCCAAAACCACACTGCAGGCAAACGTTCGAGTTAGGAACAAAAAGCAGATGCTTCAAGTGTCACTCTAGTCTCTATATCTTTCCACTTGATATCTTTGCTCGATGTCTACATCACACCAAGAGAAGACTCAGATCTGAAACCAATGTTTGGTCCTTTAGTTCCAAGGCTGAAAGTCGCATCTGGAAAAGCGCAGTATATGCGTTCCCTCTGAGGAACCATGGCCGGTTCCCTCCAGCCATCTGTATTAAGGTTGCTTTTGAAGAGATGCAAAGGTTGCCACATTTAGAGAACTTTGTTGTGAAGGTCACCCCATCAGGTGGGAGAAAAGAGAGACAGAATGAGGAATTCTGCTGTCCCAGAAGAGACCACAAGCACAGTCCTAAATTACTATTGCAATTACCTCAAAGGAAAAAGGTGTTTTGAAAATCAACACAAAGAGTCACCACTTTCTGACATTTTTTTCTCAAAGAAACACAGCTGGGGCAGAATTTAAGGATCCTCTTCACTACCAGTCCTTATTCCTCAAAGAAATCCTTGAAATCGCTATGTCTGTATAGAGCTGAAAAGAAGCTCTAAACTGAGACTAAATAAAAGCGGGACAGTATGGTTGTTGCATATCTTGCCCACCTTAGAAACCCTGGTGTCAAATGCTGACGTTAGCCCAGACCCACAGGCGGGCAGGAGGATCGTGCCCTATTGCAGCACCAAACCCGGACAGACACAACCATACTGCGTTAAGCCATTGCTCCCTCACACACATGGTCTCAGGTGGAGAAGCTGGAAGGAGAGGAGCCAGCTGGTAGGATGTGCTTGTTGATGGTGAAGACCACGGCAAGGACCAGAGCAAATGGCCCAGAATGTAAGTGCTGTATTGCTGGAAAAGCCACAAAGTTACTGACTCAAGAAACACCCGCAGAACTGCGTGTTGGTAACATGCCTGTGTGAACAATGTTTTTGTAGGTCGGTTGCCAGGTATTCTGCAACCAGTTTGGTTAAGCTACTTACCTCACCTGGGTGTAAACTGAATTCAGTCCACTTAGCATCTGATCCAAGGTAGGGATACATGGTTTCAAAGCCTCTCAGAACAGAGATTTTTAATTATATCTTCTGCATCACAGATTAATGCTTCAACCACCAAGCTACTGGATAAACCAGCACTTACGCCAACCTTAAAAAAAGGTTTCCAGCCAAAGACAGCAAATTTGTCCTATTTTCACAAAAAACATCTGAAAGACTGAAACCACGTTGTTAAACTTAACAAACTATCTTTGCCTGTTCTAACCCTTACCAAGCACCTCTGCTTGCTGTATTTACTTCTAATTTAAATCCCAGTCTAATTTCCTCTAAATCAAAATGGCAGTTCAAAACTAAGGGGAGGGGAGGAAAAAAACCACACGCTTCTAAACATGACCATTTGCTTAGCACAGCAGGTCCTGCCTTGTTACGCTGAAGAGTGCTATCTCCCCGGAGAGTAGTACTGCCAACAACAAAAAAAAACTCAAGAGAAGAATGAGTAATACAGTACGGTTCACTCCTCACTGTCACCTCTAGCTCAGATTTACTCTTGGTCCTCGAATCATCTGAAAGCACAGACAGACAGGTACAAACCATATGGAAAACCACTGAGAGCTTTAATCGCGTCTTTTCTACCCACCCCATTTAAGATGCAGTTCCCAATTTGCAAGAGGATACCATTATCAAACTCTCAGCTATGAACTGCAGTCACTGCACTGGAATAAAAACGGTAATGCCATTAGCACCAAAGAATTCCTCCTTTCTTTGGAGGATCACTGTACCGATTTTCTTGTATTTTAGATATTCTCCTAGACTTCCAGATCTTCTCTCCAAATCAGGAAAAAGCATGCCTAAGTTCTATTCTCTGTTAAATTGCCTCTATGGATGTGGATTTCACCTTTTGATTCGTAGGATGCGGAAGTGAAACACAAGGCAGGGTGTTAGCACACCGATAAACTCTGTTTCTGATATAACGCAATGCACAGCTGCCACACAGCTAGCTGAGAGCGTTGGACTAGAGGGAGTCAGGAAATTCCAGGAAAAAAAATTTTTTTCAATTTAAGACTTTGATTCATTGAAGCTAAAATTTTTGAAGGGAAACTTGAGCATTTCAGTATGACATTTCTTAGGAAAAAAAAATCTTAGAACCAAAATAGAAATCTCATCCAGAATGGCCAATTGCTTGGAAACCATAGCATTGTGTCCACTCAGATAAATATATTTTATTTACTCAAAGCAGGCCCGGGACTTGAACTTGCATTTAAGTGCTTGCTGGCGACTGTAGGGCAGCGCTTTGCTTTTGCATTTCATCTCGGAGTGAAATCTCAACAGATTTCAAAATCAAGAAAAATTGTTTTCAAATCAGCTTGCTTTTCTGAGTAGACCTTCAGGTGTTGACGTTAGCCCCAAACCTATGCAACGATTTGAAAGTGTCTTGTGCATTACTGCCAAGACGATATTCAAGCAGGGCTACTCCTCGGGTAGAAGGGGAAGTTGCTGCCAGCAAAGTCTTCCACAATATTCATCTCTTCTCACAGAACTTTGAAGAAAAACAATATCAAAAGGAAAAAAAAAAAATATCTGAGGAAACCTGAATCGGGAAAATATTGACAATATAACTAAAAAGTCTTTATCAAATCAGATGAGAGACAATTAGGGTAGCTTCTAAGCATCTGAATGTTGATGAAAACTGAATTCAATCTCCACACGTTTTAAGATTTACCCATCCCCAGGTACTATTCAAAACCAATCTTCCCCTTCTGCCCTACATACAAAGCAATGGTAATAAAGAATCACAACAGCTTAAGCAAAGAGCAAATCTACCTCGCGCTTCCCAGAAAAAAAAGTCACTGAGGGGTCTACTTTCACAGAGAAATTCGGCATTAGCAATACAGCTAGTCCATCCTGTGGCTATAGAGGGCTGAATTGCATTGCCAAGCGATGCTGTACTTGCCTTGGAAGCAAATTTCCTCCTCGCAGAGCCTGTGAAGGGCCCCGGAGCCAGGGCACGGGGTTCAGTTAATCAGGATATCCACTGGGTTTTGGGTCTGACCTTTAGTGTGGCAGCAACATAGATCTTCCGATAATCTGCTTTGCTACCGCACTACCTCCTGCAAACATTTTTGAGAGAAAAAACACAGAGCAGACAGAGTAAGGGGAGGGGGAGGAAAAAAAGGGAAAAGAAAAAGAAAGCCAGAGCGAGAACTGGGGATAAGAAGAACAATGTCAATAAATCAGCCGAGGAACATTCCCAGAAGTCTACAGCTCATATCCCAGCCTAATGACAAACTTTATAACAACAAACAGCGAGCGCTAAGAGCTGTGACCACTGCAGGCTGTTCTCTCTATGAAACGACAAGCACGCAGGCAAGTGTGGCCACCTAGTCAGCTGAGTTCACAGGTACGAAACACATTGTCACCACGTCTTTCACTCTTGAGAGGCCAGTGCCAAAATCATTTCCTCGCATCTACTTCAAATCCAGGTTTTAACAAACGCTCAGTCGGAGTCAACTGTCCTGGAAAAAGCTGCACCAGTGGGACCCATCCGGGAAACATAAATAAGAATGTCTAAACAAATCAATTAATTACCGGTGAAGTTAGGTGAGATAAATCACGTCTTTACTGTGCTATGAAAATTGTAAAAGATACTTTCTGTTACATTTAAATTAAAACAACAACAACAGGAAAAAGGAAAAAGGAAAGAGGAAAAGAGAAAAAAGGAGAGCGGAAAAGAGAAAAAAGGAGAGAGGAAAAGTCCCAATTCCTTAATATGGTTTCCAGGCAAGGATTTGCTTGGTTTTCATGAGCCTGTATATGCTATATTTCTTTAGTTGAAAATTTACCGCCACAGGAGTTTCCAGACCCTTTTCGAAAGTTCCCTTGTGCAATAATTTATTCACCATTTGCAATCTGTTGAGCAATTTTCCAAATGAACTCTTTCCAGATTTTGGCACTCTTAAAAAAATCTAATCATCCATTGCACTGCCCATAGGGCCAAAGCTTGGCAGAAGAAGTCACAAGTGCAAATTTATCCAAATAACCTGGCACTGGATTAAAAAAAAAAAAAAAAAAAACACAAAAAACCCACACCACAAAAAACACACCACAAATACAATACAGAAAGCAGCAAAAGAGCCCTGGTAATTTAATCTTCCCAGGACCTCAGTGCGA